ACTACGCGAGGAAAGGGCCGCTCGCTCGTGAACCACGGCTAATCCCACTGATCACGCTGCGCCCATCTTTATTCGCTACCTGATGGTGTGGTTGTTTCGCCACAAACTCTCTCCATTTCAAACAGTGAGAGTGAGGTGATGAGTGGAAAGAGCTGGCACCAACAAACGTGAACTCGTCCGAGCACGCCTATCTCAGTCTTTGCACGTACAAGCGCGGATCTGCATAGGGTCCTAGGGCGCTGTTTATCGACGGGGGGGCATTCTGCTTTTCATAGATTTGCCAACCCATCTAGGTACCCTTTTTTCGAGTTGACACGTTTTAGGATGGTGGCTAGACGCTCCAGCTTCACAAGCGTTCACAAGTTTTACCAGAGTGAGATTTGTAAACCGGAACCAGGGAAGCAATTATAATACAAAATGCCCCCCGTCGATAAACAGCGCCGGATCCTAGCTGGAACACTCTGGCGGGTTTCTCGCTGCCTTTTTCTTGGATGCTGGATCATTTAATACCTTGTCACTAATATTTGAGTCGCATGACTCCCTATTTCTGAGCCAGGAGGGTGCCTATCTAAATCTAACTATAGATATGGTATGTAGTGTATCTAACTAGGACACTGTGGAACGATGGGCAAGTGTGAAGAAAACTAATAAATAATTGGCCTAAGTGGTCTCAGATGCTGCACCAAAAGAAACCGAGATTTTCAGGCGATATACCATCCCTCCCTCTGGTGTAGGAGAAGCTGTGTGAACAATTTAAAAAAGAAGACAATCAAAACTTTCTAAACGTAAACGTGGAAACTTGTGGAAAACTCGAACTTCGCCATTGTCAACATTGAATAGTTCCGATGGGACTTTCGATACAGATTGTTCCACCAACGACATATCAGAGCCGTACCACATGAGCTGTCGAACCTGACAAAAACTATTACATAAGAACACGAAAGGAAAGCGTTGGGGCGTATAAGGGATGAAGGATAAAAGTTAAAGAATAATAAAAACTGGTGGACATCTAGCTGGAGACGATACACTTAATATTAGGGCACATCCTGTCCGTTAGGAAAGAAATTAGCAAAACAGACGCTCGCCTCAAATTTAATAGTCTGGGTACGATCCCTTTTCTCATTCCTCATCCTTCCTATCATCTTCCTGATTTCTTCCCACACCACACCTGTAATTCCTCATCCTCCCACCCCTCCCCCGCCCTCCAAAAAAAAACAACGGTCGAGTGGGGAGGCGAAAACTTCATTCTCAAAAAGTAGATTCCCCTTTTCTTGCGGCCAAATACGACCTCTCCCCTCACTGGGGATCCCCAAAGCCCACGCACTCTGCTTGGTATTGTGGTTGGAAGCGTGCTTCAAAGCAATTGTGTAGGAACGAGAATAAAAGAGGAATACTTTCGAAAAACAGGGATATGAGCGCCAAAACGGTTGAGTTGAAGTTGGAAACCTCGAATACACAAATGATGAAAAATTGCCATCACATACAAATCACTGACCATAAGCACATTGTTCCGTTCAACGAGGTAGTGTATGGGAGCCTGCTTCGCTCTATCAAACTCATTACATGGTGTACCTAGACAAACAGCATTAGCAGTTGTTCAAAAGACCATGAAAAAATAAAAAAGGCAATTCAGGTCTGAATCGCGTCTTTTTCCGAAGAACCCGCACCTGACTATTTTCCCCGCTCTATAAACCAAGCGCCGGGATTGCATATTGTAAATAGAGGTGTTCATTTACAATCCCAGTCGCTAGCCGCTAAGTGACTCCCCAGACAGAAAAAAAAACAAAAAAGATCACGGCAAACGCCTTACAGTAAAAAACCCATGGCAGGCGCTCACGTACGTGTTTCTCCGTGCCGCTCCGTTTATGGCAGCAAACGATGATCCTGTGACCTGTGGTTCACTAATCTTTTATTTTTTCGCGTCAGCATGACGCAGTAACTTCTAACTAGCAAAAAAAACACGGTAGAAAAAGAATCGTGAATGAAAACAGCCTTTGAGTTTCGTGGGCGGGAGCTGTCGCCAATTAGAGAGGCGTCACAACTGCTTAATTCTGGGCCACAAGCTTTTACCTTTACTGTCGAAGCCGCCAAAAGGGATAATTATAGAGAGACGCGACCCAAACTAACTTGATCAAGAAGGACGCCGTACGAACAGCTTTGAGAGTGGATTGACAGTCTTTGACCTAGCACGAAAATTCGTCGAAAAAAGGATGGAACATGCGAAATTCATGAAGTCAAAAAGATTCCAAGGCGCTTGTAACAGAATTGGAGATGGCAATTGTGCCGCGTTCGCCTTATTCTTTTTGCCCACTAGTCACACGCTTACTTAGCAGGTCTCTGTAAAGCTTCCTTGTGGTTACTACCAGTGTAGCAAAAAGGAGTCAGCCGATCTTCTTAAGGCATGTTGGCCCGAATAAATCGCTCAAGACGATAGATCATATACTTCTGGCAGGATAGAAATTCCGCGAACCGCGGGCTAGGCGCAGCATAGGGTCCCGTCGAGAAGGTGCCCTATAAGGACCTATAAAAGCCACGAACTTCACGTGCCCACAATGCGCCCGCCGCCGGCCCGTCCACAAATGGACGACGCGTGTCCTGACGCTCGTAATTCATCTAAGCAGACTTATGAAGCGAGGGATTGGTATAAGCGGGCCAGTCGATGCCCGCATTCATACACTAAGTCACACATATGCAGCCGTATCTTGGTAAGCGGTGACTTGGTTAAGGATGCCTACGGGAACTTGTCGCGAAATCGATTTACAAGTACAGCGCCTACTAGCCATTTTAGGCTAAGTAGACAGAACCATCGTGCACTGCCCTTTTAGCGTGTAGCGCTCAATGTGTGCCCACGGACCAAATTGCGCCGAACCCTGTTTAGTATCTAATTTTAAATTATAATTAAAAGTTTTCTAGCGCACTAATCAATGAAATCAATGTTCATTCTAGCGCCTTCACTGACTTCTGTCGCAGAACTACAGGTAGCGAAATATCAAGAGATGTAAGAAATAATAAATAAAAAATAAACCACTGTTTGTTGCTCAAACGAGAATCTGAGTGCTTACCATGTTTCATTAAAACATTCAATTGACATGGTTGGCCGCTGATAGCAGCAAAGTGAATAGCTTGTCGATGGCATGCATGAGTCTTTTCTGTCAACAATGTACCAGATCCAGATGGCGACAAACAAGACAATATCAGATCAAGCATCCTTAATCATAAACTTGGAGAAAATGAAAAATGAATCCTGAGATGAATTGGAAGTAAAAAGTAATCAATATACCTCTCATGAATAAGCAGGAAAAAATTCCATAAGAATACTTACAATTACTACAATCTTTACAAGGCCCAATTTCACCTGCCAAACTCTTAACTGTAAGATGAAAAATAGCGCAGCCTCCCGTTAGATCGGGGTAAAGGGCTCACAGAACTTCCTTCCCACAGATAATCCTTGAGCGATCAATAAAAAGGCTTCGCAGCAGTAGTATTGAAAAAGAATTGCCTTCATATTGATTGATGAGATAAAAGAAAGTCTTCCAGTGAATACCAAGAAAATTGGATAAAAAGATGCAAGTTGGTGAAAAAAAGGGGGAGGGTAGGGGGTGGCATTTGAAGAACTTCATGCAAGCAAACCTGCCCCATAAAATCTTTATATCTCTCAGTACATTCAATCTGTAGCTAAAAATTCGCAGAAGCGTTCAATAATCATTTAAACTGAACTTACAGACATTGGCAGTGTTTCTGTAAGAAACATGGCTTGCGTTCAGCGAACTGGGAAGACAAATACATGGCCACATTGGCATTTCCTTCATAATCTTTCGTTAAATTTACAATACCCTATAATAATTGTAAAGCTTTCAGTGCCTCAATTAGTTGATGATTCTTTGGAAAAGATCAACACATACCGAATAACCAGCATATGCTTTCAGTCAGACTTAAAAAAACACATCGTGAATGGCGTGAACAAATGACTCTCGTCATATTTCGAGAGTCATTCGTTCACGCTAGTCACGATTTTTTTCCAAAGCCATTTTGGATTGGGCTTTTTTCGACGCAACACGGTTATTTTTCAAACCATATCGGGCACTTTCCAAATCTAATCAAACACAAGCAAATTTCAAAATTTTATAACTTTTCTCAGCATCTTCACACATCCATTGTTAACAAAGCGAATAAACTCATGAACAGGCCTTTTTACCCTGGCACAATGAGTTTCGCCCCTTTGACCACAACCACTTTTAGGTCTTTCAACATGATTTTGATATCTTCTCATGATATCTCCAATTTTAGTTTGAAAAAGCTAGCTTCATCA